TTTCAAATAGATAGCTATGAAGTGGCAGGAAGAAATAAGGATGCAATTATATTCATGTCACCCTCCTTTTTCACTGGCTTTAAGATACTTGGAATGGTTAGCGAGAGGTCGAGACAGTGAGGAAGAAGAAAACAGAGAGGCAGAAGGTGGCAAGTCTGAGGCACCAGCTTTCTGGGTTTTGAATTAGACCAACTCCCCAGGGGCCCAGAGGGGCCTTGCAAGGCATTGGTGAGGAGGGCATGCTCCGGGGCTGCTTGGCTAAGGATAAAGTTACACCTTAACTGCTTATGAGCTGTACCTTGGGAAAAGTAACAAATCTCTTTGAAAGTTCTAGCTTCCTTTTTTTTTTTTTTTTTTTTTAATGTTTAGTTTTGAGACAGAGAGAGGGGGTGGAAGAGGGGCAGATAAAGCAGGAGACACAATAAGAAGTAGGCTGCAGGCTCCGGGCTGTTAGTACAGAGCCCCACGCGCGGCTCGAACCCACAAACTGTGAGATCATGACCTCAGCTGAAGTCAGACGTTTAATCAGCTGCGCCACCCAGGCGCCCCTGAAAGTTCTAGCTTCTTAAAGTATGGTGAAACGATATTTTTAACCTCATAGACTACAATGAGATTAAATAAGAATGCAAAACATAAAATGTGCATAAACAAAGCTCAATAAAGATTTTTTTTTTTTTTTTAGAAAGAAGTTAATAGTGATGCTTTCTTTATGGTTTAGGTTTAAGGCTCAAAGTGCCAGGTGGACCTTTCTCACATACCAAGAAAGCAAACGGAAAATGATTTAATAATTCAACAACATTTTTTTAGGCATTTTCTGACACTATACCACACCAAAAATGTCAGGTAAGACAGTCTAGCAGACAATAATGCATGTATGGCAGAAGTCGTAAGGGATGAAGACTTCCGTGACTCACTCATTTATTCCTTCCTGCAGAATTTGCACACTGAAGGAGAGAGAACTCAACAAACCCTAATCCATCCATGCATTTATCTCGACAATCGGAGAGGCAAGTACTTGAGACGTCAAAATGTTTGTGGCGCTGATAACAAATACCGCATACAGTTTATTTCTAAACAGCTCATCCGTTGTAAATTGTACATTTAAGAAATAATTTATTAAACCCAGTGTTACACAGCCAAACAAATATTGACATGATGTATCATCACAATATGCTCTCAATAACAGTTTTTACATTGCTAGTGAGTTTTGCCAGAAAATCGGAGATTTATGCCAAAAACTGGCTCTCTGCGTTCGTCTGCCAAAGTTGGCTGCTGTTTTGCATCCAAAGACAAAATTACAACACCCTGTATATCGCAGAGTAGATAATAGAGCCGTAAACCTGCTTCTCAAGTGTTCACAATTCTCTTTGTGGTGTGTGTTATGTACACGCACTAGGAAGGAGTCTGTGTTTATATAGATTATGGAATGTTAAATTTCTCCAGCAAAGCAAATTCACAGAAATGTTCAAAAGCAAGCAATGAAGCCTGTTCCAGAAGTACCCTTTTTCTTTTTAGAAAAATATTTCAGTATAATTCTAGGAAAATGACAGCAAACATGTAATGATTTGCAAGTTAGACTTTATGATCATATAGCCTTAAGAGCCAATCTCATTTTAACTTTGGATATATTAACCTAAATCTTGGCTTTTTAAAAAAAATGTTTTTATTTTGAGAGAGAGAGAGTGAGAGAGAGAGAGAGAGAGAGCTCACATAAGCCCAAGCTTGTGTGAGTGGGGGGAGGAACACAGAGGAAGAATTCCAAGCAGGCTCCATGCTGTCAACGCAGCACCCGACACAGGACACAACCCCTCATATCCTAAGATCATGACCTGAGCCAAAACCAAGAGTCGGACGCTTAACCAACCGAGCCATGCAGGCGTCCCTCAGTCTTGGCTTTCTTAACAGTAAAGAGGAAAAAGGAAAGCCAGCATTTTGCAGAGATTAAGGACTAAATGAGATGACGTGTGAAGTGCCTGGCACTGTGCTCAGCACATTAAAAAAGGGCTTGATGCGCATCTTCACTTCCATATAATTACTTCTTCAGTAGACTTAACAGCAAAATGTGGGGGAGCCAAAGAAAGGAAAATAAGTCTTAATCATATTTCATCGCCAGCATTTAGCAATTCCCAGGATATAGCTAATAATTAATATATATTTGTTAAAAATGGGAGACTTATTTTCACTTTTAAAACAGTGATTAATTCATTTCTGAGTCAGAGTAAATTCTCTGCTGCAAGAAGTCGTGAGAAATATATTTGTTTACTAAATATTCTAGCTAAAGAAGTTACTAGACAGGAGCCACAAAGAGTTGTAATTTTTAAACTCTTTGTTCTTTTACGTAGTCTTTCAATCATAAAGTACTTAGTGAGTCTCTATTATGGGCAAGATAATTAAATGTACACTTTAAATCAGACAAATATAATTCTGTATCTAACAATCGCATAATGGGGGACACACAAAATGCAGTGGCTTCTTAGACAGTGAGGCACCTTGCTTGGCGTGGGAGGATTGAGGAAAATCTCCACGGCTTCCAAGTTCAAAGAATCAATCCTAGGGTTTTTGGGAAGACCAGTGGGGAGAGTAAAGGCATGGAGGTGTGAGACCAGAGTAGAGCAGAGATACTAAGTATTAGGAGCTCAGTGTAGCTGCAGTGGGAATTGGAGAAGGAAACTGTAAGTGATGCTCAACCGTTAACCAAGGACTCTGAACAAAGGCCTGTGTGTGAAGGGTCTCATATATAAAGTACGGATTTTTATTAAGTAAGGATTAACTGGTGGAACCACAGGATCATACTTCCATGTCAAGAAGCTCGTTACAACAGTGGGAAAGGGGGAATAGAGACACTAGAAGCTTTTCTAATAGTATTTATGAGATGATGAAGTTTTCCATTACATTAGATCTCAAGCTATATTTCATAAATGGAATCAGTAGAATCTTGTGATTGGTTTGTTATGGCAAAAGAAAGGGGAAAAAAAATCTAATGAGTTCAAAATACCTGGCTTAGGCAGTTTGGAGGATGTAGCTAATAGACCATATAGACTGGATCTCTTGAGATTGTTTATTTCAAATAACGGTCTGATTATATAGCCTGGTTTAAATGGTGATTTAGGGATCTCCTACATTATCAGAGAGTAGTTCTAGGACTTGTGTACTAGAAGGGCTTAGGGGCAAGAGTCTGGTCACAAGAGCAGGTTACGTCTCATAGCTGCATCTGCAAGACACATATAATTATAAAAACATAAATTGTCTCTTGGATCTGATGAGTATGGGGCCAGTCTTCCTTTCCCACCATGCCATCCTATGGAGTAGCACCGGAATCATAATTAATTGACTTTTAATGTCCTATATTTTATATTTACCCTATGGAATTTATACCATGTATTGAAAAATAATGCCACTCATGATTATTATACACATATTCAGTCCTCTGAAATAAGAGTTTAAGCCCTGTACACTCCTTTTGTATTTTTAAATTTATAATTCAAAATAGATATAAATTTGATATATTGTGGAGGAAAAAAAAGATACTAAAAAATTCTCCTGTATGGCCTGGAAAGCTCCAAAGCCAAAAAAAGGGGTCAAAATTCAAATCTCAACCACCCTAAGTCTCATTCTTTTTCTGTAAAATAGGGATAATTTGGAATTGTGAAGACTGAGGTAAGTGGAAATATCTCAAAACTTTTTTGACACATTGATGTTCAATACATTTCTTTTGGGTGAATTACCTATGTAAATCGTACATACACATGTACCTATATATAACCACAAACTGCAGAATATGTTAATATACACATTTATACACACATACATATACATACAGTTTATGCACATAATTCATGGCTTTATAAACAACCCTGGGAACACTTAAGAGTCAACTTAAAATTGCTCCATTAAAGCATATTCATGTTTTTCCAAGTTCAAAAATAGTTTAAGATCTTGGGGCACCTGGGTGGTTCAGTCAGTTAAGCATCTGACTCTCGATTTTGGCTCAGGTTGTGATCTCATGGTATATGGGTTTGAGCCCCACATCATGCTCTGTGCTGACAGCATGGGGCCTGCTTAGGATTCTGTCTCACTCTCTCTCTCTCTGCCCCTCCCCTCCTGGCTCTTTCAAAATAAATAAAAATAAATTTAAAACAGTATTTCAAGGTCCTTAGTAGATACTATTGGTATCTTAATTTGCGGGGAGGGTAGCTTAAGTGGGACTGAATTTTCTTCCCATTAATTTTTCTTTCAAATAACTAATTTTAAGTAACAAAATATCCACAACAATGGCACTTGAAATGCTTTAAAAGAAGGCTGACTACCAGCGAGAGACTATTAGCTAGTACCGCTGCACTTAGCTGCTAGAGAACCAAGAAGCGGAAAGTACACTTTCCAAGACCTAGAATTGTGTCCCTTTGGGCTTAATTCTGTCCATCTGCAAAGTGGAAGGGCAGGCCTCATTCCCAAACACAGCAGCACAAAGCAATCACAAGGGCTGCTTTGCTAAACAGACATTCCGGCACACCTTGCCAGATTCAGGGATTCCAAACTCTAGCAGTGGTTTCCGGAGCGGCCGTAGTTTTCTCTGAGGGTGGCTCTGATAATTAGTTATCAGAAGATTCCTAGCATCTCTTTTCTGTTCCTGAAAAAGAACTGGCACTTGGAAGTATATACTCATTTCTGTGACCTATGGCCATTGATTACCTTTGTTGCCTCCCGTTATACACCAGCTCCATGGGTGTGTTAGGAGCTTTAGTAATGAGGGCACCTGGGTGGCTCAGTTGGTTAAGCATCCGACTTCAGCTCAGGTCATGATCTCATGGTTCGTGGGTTCGAGCCCTGAGTTGGGTTCTGTGCTGACAGCTGAGAGCCTGGAGCCTGCTTCAGATTCTGTGTCTCCCTCTCTCTCTCTGACCCTCCCCTGCTCACGCTGCCTCTCTCTCAGAAATAAATAAAGCATTAAAAAAATATTTAAAAAAATCCAGAGCTTTAGTAATGAAGAGAAGACAATATAGTTTATGGTCTGATAAAATGTATTTTCGTAAGATATTAGTTATGTGCCAACTATACATTTAAACAAAATATGATCCTTCAAAACATTCTGCACAAAGAACTTACAGATCACATTTACTTAATTACAAAATGTCCAGTTCCTTAGGAAAATGTATTTAAAGACTTCCTACAACAAAATTTTCAAAACACCAAAGAACAGAAATATTAAATTACTTTACGGCACAGGACATCCTAAACCTGTGCGACACCGCGGGCAGCTTTTGCTGTAGAAACAGGATGACGGAGGGATACCTAAGCAAAAACAGCTCCGCGAATGGGTATTCACGAATTTCTGGTCAACTGAAGCTTAATGATATTAAGAACCAGGGGTCTTGGAGCATCAATTTATAAAAATAAAACCTTCCCCAAATATTAGAAGTACATTTTTCTACCTTTACAATTCAGAAACATTCTGCTCATTTGTCAAATACATGACAACATCCGGTTAATTGCTTAAACTTAACAACATTCCTCCTTGAGATGGTGATCCTGTTGCATTTCCTTATTCGTTTTTTCCCTAATAAACCCAGGGCCGGTGACAGGGAAGGAACTGAAACACACTTAGATTAAAAACTGGTCTTAGTGATACTTTATTCATGAATAATCCAGCAAGTATTTACTGAAGGCCTACATTTCCAGGTCTCAAAAGAGCAAGACACACACAAAGGCTGCCCACAAAGAGCTTACCGTCACGAATACAGCAGGCCAAGCTCTGGTTCTGAATCACTAAAAGCCTTCATCTTGTAAGATCTGCACCCATACTGATTTCCACTATTGACTTATGAAGGGAATTCTGAAGTCTGTTGTCGACAAAGCCTACACTTTGCTTTCTCACTTTGTCTTTTGCTCCCTCTGACAATGTCAAACATTTTCATTTCCTCCTCAGTTCCCCACAACATACCCTCTGCACTCCAGGTGGCTTTTTCTGTGACACTTGCTCCAGCCTTCTGCTCCCTGTCACTGCTGTCTTTTGTTTCTTTCCTCCTCATTAGAAAAGTGGTAACTGGGGCTTCCCCGGGACACCCTTCCTGACTTCGTATTCACTTGAATGACGAAACATTTCCTTCAATGTTGGATCTTTAGTAAGTATGATCACCGGCATTTCCAATTAGCATTTTCCAGGGCTCTGTTGTGAATTTCAGAGCTTTCTAATACTTTCTTCCTGAATGCTATTTAGAAATTTCATCCTCAATAAGACAAGAGCTTCTTGAGGATTCCTGTTTTAAAGGTTGTATTTAAAGAGACTGATCAAGGATGCATAACTCAGCAAAGGGCACTTCTACTTCATTCTCAATTTTCACCAGTACTGGATTCTGTAAGATCACGGTTAAAAACTATTTGGTGTGGGATATCAATTTTACATATAAGGGCTAGATCAAAGAAAATTCAATTAGGGGGATTTTGATATAGTTTGGAAGTTAAAAAACATAAATGACAAGAAGTTAAGGTAGCTAGGGATTCACAGATATGTCTACATCCTTTATCATAAACAACATACAATTAGGAATTCAACTTTTTTTAAGTCTGCAAGTCAGATGCTATCAAGCAAACTGCTATGTATGAGTCCACAATCCTTTAGACTTTTAACTCAAATAGGAGGATTCGGTAAACTTTAATTTTCTAAATGTTCTCAGAAAGAGTTATCAGAAGCATCCACCACTTAAAAAACACAGCTGGAGAATCCATTTACCCCAAATGAACTAAGCATGTGTGTTGTTGTGAGGCAGCAATGACAGACCATGACCTTCTGGGGAGATGGCTGCCTCCGTGCACAGGAAGAGTGTGGAGAACAAGGAGGGAGAGTCACCCTTCATCATCACATCAACTACTGGTGTTTTCCGAGTGCTTTAAATGCTTGATTTCACTTGCACAGCAATACCGATCTTTATTTGGAAAAGAAATCCTATGTTCCAAGTACTGGATATTAACAACTTCCAACACGATCTCTAGGAATAATTCGCAGTTCTGAACCGTGCTTTAGGAAAACATTTCCTACACAAACAAACAAAACACAGAGTTAGGTATTTAAAAAGCGACAAGTTATCTTACACACTGCAACAACTATCGTTAATACAGGAAACAAAGTAGTGTATGGTAAGTAGGTACGAAGCTCAAATATCACTGGGATCTAACTCCATGCTTTTTAAGGCTTGTTCCCATTCCTCTCAAATCTTCTCAATCCAACCAAATGTCTGAAAATTTTAAATAAGAACCCTAGCCAAGAAAGTGCTAACACAAACACTCAGCAGACAACAATGTAATTTAAATGAACCATCAAGACTTGCTAATTTAATACCCACTAAAATGTCTAAGGACAGAAAAGATAGTAAATCTAAATTACCACAAATGATGAACTTTTAGAAACCTGATCTGACCTATCTTTGCTCAACTGCTTGCGGAAATTTTCTTCAGGCCACAAATTTTCTTGTGCATGAAGTGCACAATTCAACTTAAGAGTAATACAACAGGCAATGAGTTAGAAACAGCAGTAACTCGGGGCGCCTGGGTGGCTCAGTCGGTTAAGCGTCCGACTTCGGCTCAGGTCAAGATCTCACGGTTCATGGGTTCACGCCTGGCATCGGGCTCTGTGCTGACAGCTAGCTCAGAACCTGGAGCCTGTTTTCAGATTCTATGTCTCCCTCTCTCTCTGACCCTCCCCTGCTCAAGCTGTCTCTCTCTCTCTCCCTCTCTCTCTCTCTCAAAAATAAATAAAAATCATTAAAAAAATTTAAAAGAAGCAGTAAGTCAAATTAATATAAACCAGTGAACATTTCCAGAGTAAACCTAAGTTTAAAGGCATCTACACAATAAAATGCCCCAGGACTTTCAATAAATGACCTTCTTAATTTAATTAACACTATATACTTAAAGCTACTGATTTAAATTTAAAAAATTTACAATTTTAAATCCCTCTTCATTTTCTTATAGCTGAATTTCAGTTTCAAGGCCTTACGAGGGCAATATACTTTTGTTACCATACAGAAGTACTTCAGAATATAATAAACAGAACTACTGCTCAAAGTGAGATCACATTAATCACATCAGATTAAAGTGTGATTAATTTTAAAAGTATAATTCAACTACAAACCAAAAAAGGTACACTAGATTAGGTACAATTAGATACAATTAATTATAATTAAGTAATTAATTAAGGTACAATTAGATTATAAACCCAAAAAAAATACATTTAAAAAAGTATAAAGCTGCCTGTTAAAAAGTTTAAGATTACTTCTACTTTGCCTGCTTGTTAGGACGTCAATAGATAGCCTTGTAGAATACTAAGTCTGAAGCTCCGGAGTATGGGCTAAGTCCCCTGAAATTTAAATGATGGCACTTCTTTAAAATAATAATAGCTGGCCCTCACTGACTGCTTACCAGAGAGAATACAAACTTTTAAGCACTTCCCATGTACCACCTCACCACCACCTTATAAAGGTAGGTCAAAATCATTACTCTAGAAAGTACAATCTTACCTTCAGACTCTTCGTTCAATGTTCCTTTAATGCTTATTAGTGAGTTTTTCTCTTTCTTGTAGCTAAAAGCATATATAGCTTATACCCATAATGAAACAGATTATTACTCAGATACATAGGTCAAGACTGCTATATAATCCCTAAAACACAGCTATTACCCTGATGAAAATCTAATCAAGTCTCATTAGAATGAATTATCAATTGACAGAGCCCCACCCATGTTTTCTTGAGTTTCAGATACTCACCTGCAGTCTGTGCAGGATTGATTCCTATTCCATCTAGAAAATAAGTTGCAAAACCATCTGAGTTGCTTTATTTCTAAAGCTAAAATGGTTCAATAGTAACAAGAAGAGATTTGCTGCTACTGTGTATATAGGCACAAGCCAAACAATTTAAATCCAAAAACACGAATAACAAATCTTTCAGGTAAGTTACCTGCTGAAATCCATTTACTATGATGCATTTGCATCACTGCCGGATTAGATAAGAACATCAGTCAGTGAGATGATCCTACTAAGTTCCATGGAATACAGTTTATTATATCATGCCATGCACAATGTAAAGTCAAAAGCACTTTAGATATGTTATGAATCATTTACATATTGCTCCTGAGGCAGACAATCTTAAGGCCAGAAGAGCCCACAAAATCATTTAATTCAGGTTGCAGTGACACCTGATGAAAGTTTACAAAGCACTTTCCTAACAGCTATTCATTCGTAAATCTAAAACTTTCTGGGAAAGAAGGTTAGCTTTCTTTTCAAGTAGAGGAACACTTCAATGTGACAGCATGCAGAATGTTTCAGGACGACAAAGTCTGGTATCTGAACTAAATTATGCTGCTGCACATTCAACCCATCATCTCTTACTCGGTGATCTTAACCGTACATGAACCACTAGCCAGCACCCACAAAGATCACCTTGTATTTTTACAAGATAGTGAAGACCTTTTAGCAATCTTTACTCATTTTATTTCAGTGTTTTCTCACAGGGCTAGTTCCATCACTTTTTATACTAGTACTCTAAGGTATTCCGAATTTAAACTCTAGATCTAAATGAATAAAATCCTGACTATTTCAAGCATAAAAAAATAGTTTACTGTCAGGAAAGCAGTAAAAAGCTATACACACACACACACACACACACACACACAAAGGTACATTCCCACTTAATTTCCCAAATTCTAAAAGCATCTGCAACTTATTAAACAACAACACAGCTTGTTAAATAAAAGGAGAATTATTTTTGGTAATAATCTGGCATGAAGTGGTAAGGACACAAGATAGTATAAAATGCTATACGATTCAAAGCTAAAGAAACTGAAGAGAGTTCATTATGGACAGTAACCTTGACTTACTGTTTACAATTATGTATATGATTTATGTTGATACAAATTTGGGGATTTTTTGGTATTTACTTTAATTTTAATTAATTTAACCTTTTAAAACAGTTTGTATGGCTCTGAGGTAATGCACAGTTTTAAAATGAATTCTTACCATTGGTAATAATTGCACTTGTTGCTGCAGGAACTTTAAACTAAAAGAGAGAAGAAGGGGAAAAAAAGCATTTTATATATGTATATAGAAATGTATAGAAATAAAATACACGCACACACACAAACACTACAGAATATTCCTAAAGTTTATTTGTAAATAGTAAGGTCAAATAAATGCTCTCTTGTGTTTGATGGAGACCAAAGTTCAAATTCTTTCCTCAAATATTCTGTATTTAATGTATTGCTGACTTAAATTTCACAGGATTGAACAGTCTAATTATGCCACGAGAAAATAACAACTAAGTTCAATTAGGTGCATAGGTGATGTCAACTAGACAATTATGTGACTGCCACTTGGCTAACAATAAGACTCTACTGATCTACTCAGAGGTGTAAAAAGATGTGTTGTCCGAATCAATAAAATGTGGTATGGAACTTTATGGTAGCTAAAGGGAGAATTCTTCTCTTACTGCTCTGGAGACAAGTAGTTGTCTCCAGAATGAGTTCATATGAGTTCATATCCTTGTAAGTTCATTCGTTTATCTAACAAATAAGTATTAAGCACTTCTATGCTATAGATTAGTTTCACGGATATTACAGTTGAGTTCTGTGATTAAGTAAGTTTGGAAAACAGTAAACTAAATAATATTGTTTAGGGGTGCCTGGGTGGCTTAGTCGGTTAGGCGTCCTACTTTCGCTTAGGTCATGATCTCGCGGTTCGTGGGTTCGAGCCCAGTGTCGGGCTGTGCTGACTGCCAGCTCGGAGCCTGGAGCCTGTTTCGGAGTCTGTGACTCTTTCTCTCTCTGACCCTCCCCTGCTCATACTGTGTCTCTCTCTCTCTCCTAGACATAAATAAAGCATTAAAAAAAAAATTTATAAAAAATAAATAATATTGTTTATTTATCTCTAAGGAGGAAATGGAGAATGAAGGGCGTCCCACACTCTTTCACCACTGACTCTAGGTTTTCATGGGTTTGTTTTTGGTGGTTCGAGTGGTCTGGAAAAAGTACTCTAGGAAATGCTGCTCTGGGTATTTATAATGGTCACATATGTATAGTTAAGAAAAACAAGTACATGCTTATTTTAATTTATAAATTAAAAACTTAAGTATGCATAAGGATAATAGCCTATTACTGGATTACGTATCTGATAAACACTTAATTTTACTGTCTATATGGTACATTCTTTCTTAACTGTAAATGTCCTTTTCAGGATTTAAAAATTTAAATAAATCTAACTTAAAATAACTTCAAAATGTGCTTTAATACATAAATATCAAAATACCTCAGGAGTGCCTGGATGACTCAGTCGGTTAGGTGTCCGACTTTGGCTCAGGTCATGATCTCACGGTTCGTGGGTTCAAGCCCCACGTTGGGTTCTGTGCTGACAGTTCAGAGCCTGGAGCCTGCTTCACATTCTGTGTCTCCCTCTTTCTATACCTCAACCCCACTTGTACTCTCTCTCCCTCAAAAAAAAAAAAAAAAAAAAAAGGAAAACAATTCCTTATTACCAAACCTTTCCAATTTCAGAAAAACTTTTCCTGAATTTTCAATGGTTGTATTACAATAGATGTGATTTGTTTAACTCATTCTTCCTACATCTGTAAGTCTTAACTTCCATTCCACTTACCTCTGGTTAGTCGGGCTTAACTTTTTGATACCAAAACCCAGTAATGAATTCGCACGGAAATGGTGGGTCAAAGTGCATACAAAACGTAAAGAATCTGAGAAGACACTATGCTGTACTCCATACAGGTCATTCCAATTTCTATACTTACTTCTTCTGCCGCAAACTTTAAGACTGCTGTGAAAGGTGTACTTTCAGGAACACTAAGTCTGCAAAAAGAAGAATTAAAAAGATTTTTAAAAGCTGATTGTCCTTATTTTTGGTAATGTAGCAGACCTAGACAAACTGGTCTTGTGAGGCTGAAGGCTATTTTGACTGAACACTATGTTCACTAATTTTATTTTTATTTTATCTTTATTTATTTTTGAGAAACAGAGTTGAGAGAAAAGGAGGAATTGAGAGAGAAGAGGGAGACAGAATCTGAAACAGGTTCCAGGCTCTGAGCTGTCAGCACAGAGCCCAATGTAGGACTCAAACTTATGAACCAGAAGATCATGACCTGAGCCAAAGGCAGACGCTTAGCTGACTGAACCACCCAGGCACTCCGTGTGTTCACTAACTTTAAAATGAAAATAAAAGCAATCAACTTTACTGCTGAGATAGCCACAGCTCCACTTGAATGGATCCCATTTCTTCACTTGGTTTACACATCACTGAATATAAAAACCACTACCTGCCACAACACATTATCATGGCTTCCAGTAAGAGAAATGTGACCAGATTCTCGGCTGTCCCCCACTCCACTTCTCCAAAATACCACAGAAGAGGGAAAATGGGTATCATTTTTCCTCCCACCTTTCCTTGTTTTTTTGAGACAATAAAAACAAAATTCTAAAGGTCAGCCATTTGTTTTAAAAAAAAAAAAACTCACCTAATAAATTGGGAACATGATAGTTTACAAAGGTGGGACTAATACTCAAGTATCTCCGTAGGAGTCATTTACAGTTCAGAAACGGACATTCAGTTTCCTAACACTATGACTCGAAGGAACTTCTAAAACCTTAGGGTTTTAATTCACTTGTGAACTGGAGACTGGGAATGCTCCAGTAACACGTAACTAAATGTCATACTGATATCCATTAAAATTAGTTTTTTCTTGTATTTTAGTTGGTGAGACTGTCCCAGATAATCTGATACCACATACAGTGAAGACCTGTTTTAAGGAATGTTCTAGGTGGCAAAAACTACGATAGACTGAGAGTTATTGCAACTCCACAGCTTTCATGTGGATTTGAATTTCTTTGCCAGGTGTCTTTTTAATAAACATTTCAAATAAACAAAACCTGACAAGTGCTGTTACAAAGAATAAAAATGAAGTTTCTATAAGAAATTGAAGACATGTAAGGTGAACTTCCTGGAAAATTACAGAAATCTTCACAGCGGTGACACTTTGCTTAATAATAGGTATCATCTGTCCAGAAGTGGTGATCACAAGGCTGCATTCCATGCACCGAAGAGAAGCTGTGTAAAAGCAGGGAGGACTCAAAAGGCTTGCTTGTCAATCAGGGAACACTGACTGAGGCTTTGACTAAGTGATCATGGTAGTTTAAGGAGGGAAGAGAGGAGGTGGGAAGTAAGACTGGAAAGTGTGGCATCAGGCTGAAAGAGTCAAAGGTTGGTTTGTTGATTTATTTTCTACTTATTTATTTTGAGAGCACGAGCAGGGGGAGGGGCAGAGAGAGAGGGAGAGAATCCCAAGCAGGCTCCGTGCTCAGTGCGGAGTCTGACTCAGGCTCCATCTCACAACTGTGAGATCATAACCTGAGCCTAAATCAAGAGTCAAACGCTCAACCCAAGGCGCCTCTGAGTCAAAGGTATGTTTACTTCACCTCGCATACACAAGAGCATATTCGATTTTAACATTTCTCTAACCTAACAGCAATACCAAGAGTGAATCTATCAAGAAACAAAAAACAAAACAATAGAAATTCTGACATCCCCCCAGAATAAATCTGGAACCGGAATATCATATCCTTTGTAGAATTCAACTATTAGTAACATTAGAAACTCAAAGGAAATTTTTCCATTAAAGATTGTATTTACCAACTTGACATTAAAAGATGACATTAAAAAGTTAAAGATTGTTGGGGCGCCTGGTGGATCAGTCAGTTAAGGGTCCAAATCTTTTTTAATTTTTTTTATCTTTTAATGTTTTATTTATTTCTTAGAGACAGAAAGAAAGAGAGAACGGGGGTCGGCGGGTGTGTGTGTGTGTGTGTGTGTGTGTGTGTGTGTGTGTGGATACGGGCAGAGAGAGAGGGACCCAGAATCCAAAGCAGGCTCCAGGCTCTGACCTATCAGCACAGAGCCCAACATGGGGCTCGAACTCACAAACTGCAGATTATGACCTGAGCCAAAGTCAGATGCTTAACCGAGTGAGCCACCGGGTGTTCCTAAGCATCCTAATCTTGATTTTTGGCTCAGGTCATGGGTTCACGATTCATGAGATGGATCCCCGCATTGGTTTCCGTGCTGACAGCTCAACGTGTAAGCTCTCTCAAAATAAATAAACATTTAGGGGCTCCTGGGTGGCTTAGTCTGTTAAGGGTCCGACTTTCACTTAGGTCATGATCTCGCGGTTCGTGGGTTCGAGCCCCGCGTCGGGCTCTGTGCTGACTGCCAGCTCAGGGCCAGGAGCTGATTTCTGTGTCAGAGTCTCCCTCTCCCTCTCTCTCTCCCCTGCCCCTGCTCACTCTGTCTCTCTCTCTCTCTCTCTCTCTCTCCTAGAAATAAATAAAAATATAAAAAAATAAAAAATAAATAAACACTTAAAAAAAACAGTTAAGTATTGTTTTCCTACAAATTTTGAGAATTTCATTTAATTGTACCCAAATACTAGCTACCGTTTACTTTGAACAGGAACCAGAATAATTACCCCTCCGTACACATGTACATGTTATATTTTACAGACACAACATACGTGCGCGCACACTACACACACACCAGAGAGTAGGTATGCCTACTAAATTCATTCAGTCACCAATATTAACTGAAGCGGTAAAACGTTCCAGGCACTCTTACAGATACTACTGCCGCCCCACTGTCCTTCCCCTCCCTCCTTCTCACTTGTTTTCTAGAACATTTACACATTGATGAGAAGAATGCAGTATAAAGGGAGAAATCAAAGACGACGAGAGAGGGATCTCTGGAGCCCATCTACTTTAATCCTGAGAAGACGAAAATAAATGAGATCCAGAGCCCAACTAGCACAACATCTGGCCTTTCATAGGAACAAAGTCATGTTAACTTTGTAACCGGACGGTGGACAGAAATGGGTTTATACATGGGAGGAGGGTCTTAGATGTGGTGACGGAAAGATAAATTTTTTCTTAATTTTTTTTTTTTTTTTTTTTTTTTTTTTTTTGAGAGAGAGAGAGACAGCGTGAGCAGGGGAGGGTCAGAGAGAGAGGGAGTCACAGACTGAAACAGGCTCCAGGCTCTGAGCTGGCAGTCAGCACAGAGCCTGACGCGGGGCCCGAACCCACGAACCATGAGATCATGACCTAAGCGAAAGTCGGATGCTCAACCGACTAAGCCACCCAGGTGCCCCAAGATAAGTTTTTTCTAATAGCTTCAGAAAAAGGAAAAAGGATGTAGAAAGTGTGAACAGAAATTTTTAAAAAAACCTTTGCAGAGAATAAAAAGGAAAAAAAGCAACACTGGGACATGTAGCACAGCGTTAGGTACTATTGGGCACAGTTATGAATTACATCAGGCTAATTATTTAAAAAAAATTTTTTTTTAATGTTTTTTATTTTTGAGAGACAGAGAGACAGAGTGCGAGTGGGGGAGGGTCCGAGAGAGAGAGAGACAGAATCCGAAGCAAGCTCCAGGCTCCCAGCTGTCAGCACAGAGCCCGACGCGGGGCTTGAACCCACGAACCGTGAGATCATGACCTGAGCCGAAGTCGGAGGCTTAACAGACTGAGCCACCCAGGCGCCCCACATCAGGCTAATTATTTTCTCTAAAAACGTTCAGCTACTACATACAGAGAACACAGGGGTTGAGTTCAGAGTTGGCGTGTCACCAAGCAATCCATACTGGGGACAGGAGGACACCAGAAATGACAGGAATGGAGCGCCAGGGAGCGACCAGACCATGGCCTCTAGGAGGGTCAAAAGGAAAGGAGTGGGGGACAGGGCGGTGACACATTCAGGAAGCAGTCTGGTCAATGAATTAAAGGAAACAATTTTTACAGAGAGACATAAAAGTGAGTCAGATACAAGGGGAGCGTATGGCCATCCACAAGGAAATACCTGAAGACGACACTTTAGAGCTGGAGTAGTTACTGAAGATCTTAAGGTGCTAGATTGTGATCATGAATATTTGAGAGAAGGTGGAAGAAAAAGAAAAGATTCGTCAGGAGATGAAATGATCCAAAAGGCTTACGGCTGGAAGTTGCATGGGTCACACATGGCTAAATCATTCAGGGCCACGGCAACGGTTAGTTGGGTTACTTAAGCCATGATGCTAATTACATTAAATATGCTTAATGTAAGCTTGTCCCGTATGTATATTGTATAAAGTCTTGTCCTTTGATGTATTTACGCAACTCTCAGCTGTAATAACTTCAATAACGTTTATCTAAAATCATAATAAATCCCGGATGAACAAACATGTAGCTAAACCTGGGCCAACCCGCCATACAACTGCTAAAGGGGAAAAAAGGGCTTCGCGTGGATCAACTGCCCTAGTTCTGCATTTGCCACTCCTGCTGATTATTCTTTTTGAAATCCCAACACAGAAAGTGTGTGATCGGAAGCTCATTACTTGGTGACACCCGACTGTTGAGTCACTCACACACGGGACTTAGAAGCCGGACGGTAATAAACGTTCAAGTAATTTCGGAATCTGGATTGGGTGGTCTTCCGTACTTCCTGTGACAGCTGATCAAGGGGGTAAAAGGCTTTTCCAATCGCGAGCTGATAGGGGCTGTTCGACCCCAGCAGATCATTTGAGGCCCGTCTTCGGTCCTCCCTCCCGCACCACCACCCACCGGGTGAGTCCCAAAGGAGAGGTTAACTATCGACGGCGTGGCTCCCGTCACACAGCCCGACCTCGCGGGCACGGGATCTCTCCTCTCAGGCTCCAGGGAGGGCGAGGGAGGGGACGTCGCCTGCTCCGGTGGGAGAGGATCTGAAAGCTCGGACCCAGCCAGCCTGGTCCCGCCCGGCCCGCCGCGGCCCCGCTACTCACACTTTGTAAGGCAGCCGCGGGTCCGATGTCAGCGTGATCTTAAAGGAAACCTTCGACCTGAGGAGAAGATCCGGAGAGAGTTAGAATCGTGCAGCGGGACCAAGGATTGGAATCGGGGTCAGTAAACACTTACATGGTGGAACCGGTCCGGACGGAGACCTCCCGCCAATCCCGCCCGGTATCCCACTTCCTCCGCGGTGGCGCGGCCGCTACCGCTCCATTCAGAGCCACGTCTCCTTCCGCAAAGCGGGGGCCTCCAAAGGTGCTGTTGTCCAAGGCATTGCCTGAAAACAGGTCTCTGTTGCTCGTGCTAGACGGAACCTCCAAGTTACAAAGACCTACTGATTTTGCATTTCAAGCTCTAAAACTAAAGCGTGGATGGTAGGGTGGAATGTTTTTCTAGATACAGTTATTTTCTGCCGCAGTTTAAGTCAGGCAATACAAGTGTGGGCAGAGGCGGTGAGGCTCTAGGTCCCCGCCGGCAGGATGGGGCGGAAGTAAGGGCAAAGAGTCGGAGGCTGCGGGGGGAATAGGCGGCGCGAGGGGCGGGGAGGTGGGCGGGGCTGAGGGGGCGTTCCACGGAGTTGCTAAGGCAACCTGTTCGCGGAAAACCTGATGGAAGTGTTTAGTGTAAATGTTATTTTTTAAAATAGTTTATACGTTAGTGTTGGTTTTTAGTGTTACTATTCTTCTGGCTTTCCAGAAATTCAATACTGTTATATCTTATATTCCCAATTTTTTCTCATTACACCTTACAATACTGACGTCTGATTAAGTTCAACAAAGTTAATCACGTTGGTGAGGAAGACTAGATCCCTACGGTAGAGGAACTTGGATTGTGGATGGGAAAAGCAATCTATGAACAGGATTCCGATAGTTTGTTGTGTGGTCTGATAGGAGTACACCAGGGAACTAGACTGCCGATCATCAGCACATTTATTCAATTTAATAACAAACTCTGAATCCTTTCTATGTAGCAGGTAGTAAAGCTAAACGTTGGAATGAGTAAGATAGGTGCCAAGTCTCTACAGTCTAACAGAACTTCTTGGACAGTGAGGACAAGGAATGTATGTCCTCTAAAATTTACCACAAATCTAAGCGTCTGTGTTTGCAAAATAAACATCCCTTTCACTATGTCTGTAATGCCCTCTTTAAGAAATACTGCAAATAAATGACCAAATAGGAAACAGGTAGATACAGAAATAATGAGGAAATCTAGTTAATCTTTAGGGTATTATGTTAGATTTTTAAGGAGAGATGTCTAAGAGAAATAGGGAAGCAACTGCAATAGGAATGTTAAACACCAATTTTCTCTTTGTGTAATTTTGTTATCCAAGTGCTCTTCCGTGGTGACATCTCTCCACAGAGAGAGTGCTGGCTCTGACTTAGGAAGGAAAGACTTCAATATTCTCATGACAGTCATTGTCTTATTCGCTTATAAAAATGATGATCTTGCCATCGAGAGATGGAGGCACATGTTGACTGATACATGTGGGGATCGACACGTGTAACATTAATAGCTGAAGCTATGGGATTATTCGGTCTGACTAAGATTTTTGAGAATGGCAGTAAGGAGAAACTTCTGATTCTGTGTACCTGGTTTCAGATAGTCAAAAAATGCAGAGATCCGAGTACACACTTACAGCCTCTAGTTCTAAGAATACATGTCATGTATTTTTAAACAATATTTGCAACTTGTTATTTATAGTTTTGTTTCTGTTCATTTATAAAAACATGTGGCAAAATCCTGAATAGAAAAACATATTTTGTTTGGACAGTATGACTTCAGTACTCACATTCTATTGCCTCTTCAGAAAACATATTAATATATTATATCAAAAGAATAGAGGGAAAACACTGTGCTCAAAAAGAAATTGAAAAGTGCCTATTCCTAAATGGCTAGAATTCTTTCCCACCTCAATACCCTAACTCTCTTACCCATGTATTTGTCTCCTCAGAGTCATAGCATAATCTCTAGAGCCTTCTGGGTTTTATTTTTCTTGATACGAGAAAAGAAATTCTAAATGCATTCATTAATACTTAATATCTTTTGTTTTTTTAAAAACGTTGCTAGGACATTTAGCAAAATTTGGCAAATATAACAAAAGAACCTTACTTACAGCAACGTTGATGTGCTGAAGTACATTTAATGACTGTAAACAGAAGCAAACTCTGAATTTTAGGAGGTAATTGGCAAATGCAACATTTTAAGACAATAAACAGCATAATGTGTTTTGGAAGGAATCCAATTTGTATCATGTAGAGGCAGAAATGATTGTAGAGTACAGAGTGTGACCATATTAGAACCCATTAAATATAAGTGAAACATATCAATGTTCTGTTTGCAAAAGCATATAAATTTCTCAATATTAGAAAGGAATTGGAGGGAAATTAAATTTGTATAAGAACTAAAAAGATTTGGTCACTGAGACACTTTGAAAGCATTAAAACCAGTGTCTCATATTAATTATGTAAGAATTGTATCAGGGGCTCCTGGATGGCTCAAGTCACTTAAGCATTTGACTTTGGCTCAGGTCACGATCTTGTAGTTTGGGGATTTGAGCCCCGCATCCAACTCTGTGCTGACAGCTCAGAGCCTGAAGCCTGCTTTGGATTCTGTGTTTCAGTCTCCCTCTGCCTCTCCCCCTCTTGCGCTCTCTTTGTCTCTCAAAAATGAATAAAAATTTAAAACATTAAGAATTGTATCATCACAAGAGCATAAGAATGTATCAAATTGTTGGTAAAGGCAAATATATAGAGATAAAACAATATTTTATTGTTATAATGGCAGTGGGTAAATTCTACTTCTAATATAAAAGTTCAAAAAGAAAAGTATCAAAAATAACTATAAATAATGTTAATGAATACATAATATAAATAGATGTAACTTGTGAAAACCAAAGCAAGAAACCGCCATCGAGAATCTTCTCTTACATTTTCTAGCATTTTGTTCTTTTTAATGTTTATTTCTTTATTTTGAGAGAGAGTGTGTGAAAAGGGAAAGGGCAGAGTAAGAGGGAGACACAGGATCTGAAGTGTGCTTTGTGCTGACAGCGGAGAGCCCACGTGGGGCTCAAATCCACGAACTGTGAGATTATGACCTAAGCCAAAGTCTGATACTTAACTGACTGAGCTACCCAGGTGCCCCACATTTTGTTCTTTTTGAAGTGCCTTTGCATTACTGCCTTAGTTGATGTTTAAAATAAAACATATCAAGCATTCAGATGGATACGATTATCTCTTTTAAAAACAGGAAGATAGGACACCTGGGTGGCTCAGTCAGTTAAACTCTTGACTCTTGATTTTGGGCTCAGTCATCATCTTATGGTTCATGAGATTAAGCCCCAAGTCCAACTGTATACTGACAGTGTGAAGCCTGCTTGGGCCTCTCTCTCTCTCTCTCTCTCTCTCCCCCCTCCCCGCCTGTCCCCTGCTTGCACTCACTCTCTCAAAATAATAAAATAAACATTAAAGAAATAAAAAAATAGAGAAACAAGAAGAGGTATGGTTAAACCTAAGGTCACACACATGGTTTGTGAGAGAATAGTGAAAAAAGCATAGTTATTGATATTTGTTTACAAAATTTATCCCAGTCTGATCCAATGCTATGTTTATTTATAGTATCAATTGTTTAAATATAAATAATTGCATTCATAAATTCATTTGATGAACTTCTCAAGGAGTTCTTACTTAGTTTTAAATTCCAGTACTTAAAATAGCATCTGGCATATACTACTCAATCACTATTTGTTTAATGACTTAATATTAGCTTAAAAATGTTAGAGATTGGTAATACATTCCTAATTACAGTAATGTCTTTAAATTTTATTACCTATAATCATAAATGCTCTTAATGCAGTAGATTATACATTTTGACTCTTGCATTGTTCCTAAGGCTTATCTATTCAAAGGACAGGACTACTCACGTAATTTAGTCCTATTAGTGAAAGCTGGGGTTCGAAAAGGCTAATTGAAGATTCTTATCCAATATGATGATAGAAAGCCATTCGAATTAAAAAAAGTATGTGACTATCATCACATGTTCCCTCACCATTACCTTGTGTGACCGTGTTTATTCTGAGTCAGAGACACTGCATCAGAAATCTCATTATCGATTCTTCTAGGATTGTATAGTTCTTGTAGAGGAAGGATTGCTTTTTGATATCAACCTTCCTAGTAGCTCTCATAGTGGTGGCGTTTAGAGCAGAGTAGTGAGCTAATGGCAAATCGCCGTGGGGAGTTCTAGGTTTGGTCTGTACGGTGCAGGTAAGTAAGTATTCTATTTGGTGCAGATACAAATGGCTCGTTCCTGTGACCCTCATCACATCTTCCTGTGTTCTGTTCATCCCCTGAAGCCCTTTGAGCCCATGACCTTTGGTGTAAATGGTATGATTTAGAGAACGCATATGTAGTTACAATTCCATTCACCAAAAGAACCACATAAATGCTTAATATATGTTTTGAAGTCATAATGTAGAGATTAGAAATCTTAAAGGCCCAAATAACCATGTGAAAACCTAACCTATTGTTTAAGAGTTATGTCATGAAAAGGACTTGAATTGAAAAGTGTGACTTGATAGAAATACTGTAGACCCTAGAATGATCTAATCTAGATTATTCTAAAATCAATTGCTACAGAATTTAAATGTTTCAAGTAACGATTTAGAAATCTTGCAACTGCCTGCTGTGACTACATTGTCATTGACAGCAATTCTTTTCACATTGGTTTAGTGGACTCTCTTCAAAATCTTTTTTTTCTCTCATAGTTTATTGTCAAGTTGGTTTCCATATAACACCCAGTGCTCATCCCAACAAGTGTATAGTAATTCCTTTAAAATTTCCTTTTTTAAAACTTCATAGCTATTTTTTCTCTTGCTTTCTGAGGCATTAAAATAACTTCTATCCTACAAAATGTTAATTGTTTTCTTTTTTTAGTTTCTCTGTGTGTGTATCTTTGTGTTTTATTTTTTGTTTTATTTCTTTATTTCTTTTTTGCTTTTTGGGTCTATTTTGGGTTTGTTTGTTTTTGCTTACTAGTTTAACGGTGGACTTATGATGATAAATGAACAGGTCAAAAACTTGTAATTGATAAGGATTTCTTCCAGAAGCTATTAGACTATTACAGAGAAGTGGAATATTTTTCCTGTGTCATAAGCAGTAATGGGGAATATGGTCTCCTTCATTTACATGAGAATGAAATATTGCTCCATCTATGTCCTACTTATTTTGTGATTACTAAATAAAATTTGCTCGTAAAGTTTTATTTTTCCTACCAGCAAAAACCATCCTTACTTCCTAAGAGATTTAGTATATCCTGGCTTTATTTGGTTTGGTCCTGACAAATTGTTAATATGAACTTAATATTTCTATTACAAGAAATATATGCCATTCTAATAAATATTTGCAGAATTTAATGTTTTTCCTGCTCACTTCTAGGTCTCTTCAAATAATACTCATGAATACAGTCATTTAAATTTAACTTTTATGTAGCCTAGA